AAGACTTTGTAAAAGAGCATAATAGGACCCCTTTAAGGGGAGCCGAGCTCCTCCTAGCTCCCCCGTAGTTCGCACCCTGCACCCGACGGTCTCGTGGGATGGCGTGACGGATGAGGAGTCCGTCTTAAAACTGGTTTCTTAAACAGCGCTCGTTGTTCTAATCCAATTTTCTGTGAGAATGGGCCGCTCACTGACCCGCAGTTAAAGAGCCTTGAGAACTGTCATCCTGCCAGGACCAGCACAGACGTGTAGTGGTGCCTCACAGCAGGGGAAATAACGTGTTTCTATGTAACGTTAGTTTAACCGAAGTGTCCAGGGAAACATTTGTCACTAGCAGAGATTATGGATGTTTTTTTTAAATACCAACTGGACTTTGACACAGCTTCGTCTGCTGCTGTAGTTAAATATTCAGTGGTTTACCACCTTTCACTCTTAAAACTAAACTAAATAATAAATGAAGTTCTTCAGTAGGTCTTTGAAGTCACTTAGGTTCAACAGTTGACCCGCCTCTTATAAACCTACCAAACTAATTCTCTGCTGTAATGGGTTTTTGAGTTGGTTATGTTCTTAGAGGATTAGAAAAAGCTCTTGATGTTTTATTATACAGTACATTCAGTACATACATTAAAGTAGGGCTGTAACCACCATGAACATTAAGGGGACATTGATTGGTCAGATTAGTGATTGACCAATGGGTTTCTTCAGTGGTCGATTCTTAAGTTGCTATAAAATGTAATTCTTCATGTCATCAGATTGTAAAACCCTTTTTGCTTGTGTTTTATGCATGTATTGTTTGTGGACTATTGGTAAATGCAACATATATAAAACTTCAGTCTAAATTAAAATGTAAAATAAAGCACATTTGAACTATTTAAAGTTAATACTTTGAGAAAGACACTTTCCCATGTGAAAAAGAAGTGCACTTAATTATATTGAATGTGCACTTAGTGTACTTACAGATAATATAATATTAATGAAATAAAAGGCCACTAAGGGTACTTAAAGAACATACGCTTTCATGACTTTTTTTTAACATAACTAATTACACTTTTAAAAAGTGCTGTTTGTAATAATGTCAAATTAAAATTTTACTGTAGAGTGCATTTTAAATTATTATGTTTTAATAATCTTTTGTCATGCTTTGAAGAAATACACTTATTTTAATGTATTGAATAACATTAAAGTACTTAATTTTAACTGTAGTGTTATAAAAATTTAAACTATGTATATTTTAAATGTACTAATTTGCAACCTAATTGCATTTATTATAAATTTAAATTTCATTTAATTGCAAACATGCATATAAAGTTTCCAAAACAATTATATTCAGTTGGCACTTCAGTATAATATTCTAAAAGCCTTGTATTTCTTTTTCACAAGGGTAGCCTATAATCAGTATTAAACTCTACATATGTTGTTGGTGCAAAATCTCAAACTGCATTTCATGTTATGACAAGAGATGCACCACACCCATGTTTATTTATGTATTATGCTATTATTATGCTATGCTCAACACTCTTACTTTTGGAACAACTGCTGGGTGGGAGAGAAAAGGAATAAGAGAAAAGAAAATGACCTTAATAAAGTCACAATGGATGTAAAATGGCTGAGCGAGTGAAAACATTGTCTTTTTCAGTATAAGTCACTGTATAAAAAGGCAAATAGATGCAATTTTGATATCTTTTTAAAAATGGTTCAAGGTATGAAAGAGATGTGTATTTGCTTTGGTAGGAATGAGAATTAGTAACTATGTCAAATTCAAAATATATTATTTAGGGCTGTCAGTTTAACGCGTTAACTTAATTAATTAGTTTTAAAAAAATATCGCGATTAAAATATTTTAACGCAGTTAACACACTGGCCCCGCCCCCAGACCTGTACATCATCTTACATTTCATACAGTTGACTGTTGACAAATATGATGCAGAGCAACAACTCCATAAATGCAGTTATGCCCTAAAATTCAAGATATTGGTGCAAAAATGTCCCTGTATGTGTTTTTGTCTCATTTATATCATACGATAAGCGATATTACACGAGCAGCGAGAGCAATAGCGAGAGCAGTATCACACTAGTGCTGATTTTGTCCCGAATATTACGAGTTTAAATGTGATTTTATACAGCAGTTCAGTAAATAAGAAGTTGATACTGTGTTATATTTTAAACACAATAATATTGATTTTGCTCAATTTAGCAGAGAACATTACCTTTAAAGCCATAGCAGAATTGTTGCGCATCTCCGAGCAACACAGTGTGTTTAGTTTCTGAATGAATCCGCGTTTTGAACGAATTGTGTGAACCAATGATTCAAAGTCCCATTCATAAAGAGAGCCATTTACTTCATTCCTGAATGAATTAGCCATTCGAATGAATGAAAGACACAAAGATATTTACCGCCACCTGCTGGCAGATTTTCTTAGAGTATCATTTAATTAAATAAATAAAAATATAATAATAATAATAAAGATAAAAATAAAAACATTAAAGGGATAGTTCACCCCAAAAAATAAAATTCTGTCATCATTTACTCACCCTCATGTCGTGTCAAACCTTTCTTTTGTGGAACATAAAAGAAGGTATTTTAAAGACTGTTGGTAACAAAGCTCTTTTGGTTACCAATGACTTTCATTGTATGAACAAAAAATACTGAGATGTTTCTCAAATGATTTTCTTTTATGTTCCATAGTTTATGTTAGGCTGTTGTAGCCTAAATGTTTATGTGAAATCATATAAGTATTTTCAATGACAGCTTAAACTTAAATTTTATGTTGAATCAAATAAAATAGTTCTAAAGCTACAATTTGTAATGTCTACTTGATACTTTCTCATTTAACACAAAAATAGCTTTAAATAATCTTTTGTGGGTATTTTCACAGTCAAATTTATTTTGCGATTAATTAATCGAAACATCATGTAATTAATTAGATAAAAAATTTTAATCGACTGACAGCCCTAATTATTACTTATTTTGCCATGACACTCATACATACATGTGCAAATTACATTTTATATTTTTTGAAATAATATTACACATGGTTGGGTCAAAGGGGACAGACTGTCTGCCTAATGTTACACTAAATAGTAGTCAGAAAAAACACTTCAGGATTTTAGTCTAATTTAATAAATCTACTGCTGAGAACCTTAATGTGAATATAAAGTGTAAAATAAAATGTTTATCAAATGTGTTTATCCTGCCATTGTTCCCTGACATAAGATTATGGTGTCTTGTACAGTCTCCTCTTTACTGTTCTTTGAGATTTTAATCAAGGGAACGGTACAGTTTGTTTGTGGTTTTAAGTTGCTATGGTACAGATGTCCTCACCTACAAAACTTTCAGCGAATCACAGGGCGTCTTTGTACACGCACACCAATCAATGAGCTGTTTACTGAAAACGTTCAGTGCCTCGGTGCCATGGCGACCGCTGTCATGGTAACCACCAAGCTCAAAGCTGAGAAATGAGCGCTTGAGGAAGAGCCTTCACAAGAAAAGGGCTGGAATTTAAAAAGCGTTATTAATTTTATTGTTCTGACACTTAGTTCATAATGTAGCCGTGTGGTTATTTGATAAAAATCCATTTTAAACGTCTTGTGTTTCGGATAAACACAACAGTACCAATGAAGCGTCCTAGCGTGCGAATGGCGACTAGCCACCTGCTTCTCGGTTAAACATTTATCGCTTGTCATCGTCAATCACGCGAGAAAACCCCCCAGACATTTCTGTAATTAGCATCAGATTTCATTTTTACTCAAAAACGTGAGTCAGTTTGTTTCAAAAAGCCAGCCTCGAATGTCCAAGATTCTCACTCAAACCTCCGAAGTTCGCGCGAGAAGATGCCAGCAGGATTCAAAACAAAAGTGGTGGCACCCCGAAATCCCAAACTGGTAAAACGGGAAGCAAATTCTGAGGTGAGTATTTTAATCTATATATACATCTATATCTATATCTTAAAACTGTAATTTTAAAGCAGCAGGTTACCCTTATCATTAACTTAAATCCCTGCCTCCAAACAGAGCACTAACTATTAGTAATTCATTAAACTACAATTTACATAAACATACAGACTTACTGTTCTTTCTTAAAAGGACACCTAAAATGCAGTGTTTTGAATCACATAACTAGCTATTAAAAATGAACCACATCCTTCACTACAGTACATTAAGCATTTACATTAAGAGTCTGACCATGAAAAATAAGTGCATTGTTTATGTTCCTTGTTGATTGACAGGTGGGTGATTGAAAGCTGTTGAGTGTTGACAACCTGTTCTTCTCTAGTCCAATTTTATTTATTGTAACAGATCCCTTTTATTTTTTCCCTTTTATTTTTGTTTGTCATTTATATCCAATAGACCATATCTATGTATATGTCAAGAAGCAAACTTCCTGATGTCTGCATGTCACTGTTATGCAATATAAAGCAAACAGTCTAGTCCAGGGATCTCCAACCCTGCTCCAACCCCAGGGAGCTACCAACCTGCAGACTTCAGTTTCAACCCTGCTCCAACACCTCTGCCTGTCTGTAATGATCAAGTAATCCTGAACACCTTGATTAACTGGTTGAGGTGTGTTGATTGGGGTTGGAGCTGAAATCTGCAGAATGGTAGCTCTCCAGGATCAGGGTTTGAGACCCCTGCTTAAGCCAAAAGACATGCAAAGTTTATCAACTCATTTCAGTTTAATTTATTTATATAGTGCTTTTCATAATAAGAATTGTTCCAAGAATAATATATGCAATATAGATTTATGCAGAATATAGGAAAATATTTTTACATAGTGGATAAATGCGCTCATAACAGGCTGCATATGTCTTTGCAGCTGATTCCATCTGTATATGCTCGAGAAATGTGCCAGACTACAGAAGAACGATTATCAAACACTTACGAGATGCATCCGCCCCGTATCCTGGAGCTCTTAGATATGAGTGAGACCACACATCACAAGGTAAAATATCAGCATTTTACAATGCTCAGTAC